GCCCTGAGAATCATAATATTAAACCCATTTCTTCCTCAATCTTCCACTTATTCTGTCTGCTACCAGTAATTACTCCTTTGGGAGACCAATTTAAATAGAACTTTCAAATTATTATTTAGAACAAGATATAAATTGGGGATATCCAGTTTTTCATTTTTTTTTTTTTTTTTTTGGTAGCGTAGTGCCTAAGGCACTTGACTGCTAATCAGAAGGCTGGCAGTTCAAACCCACCAACCACTCCTCAGAAGGAAGATAGGGCAATCTACTTCCGTACTGATACTGCCTCGGAAACCCAAGTAGGGGTCACTATGAGTCAGGTCCAACTTGACGGCACATAACAAACAAAACAAACAAACAAAGCATATATTTAGACTATCACATGATTGCAAGCTACATAAACAGTCTTATTCATAACAATGGTAAAATATCACCATAAAAATCAATTTTACATTTCTGGATAAAGATAAGAAACTTAACACATGTACTTCATTTTGCTGCATTTCCAAATCCCTCTATAACTACAGTAAAGAAACTTTTTGAAAAAATATATACTTGAGGACAGGGAAAATGGGCAAAGAGATGCTAACATATTGGAAGCTGTAAAGTACATAGCAGCTCTGGTGGTGCAGTGCCTAAGGCAACTGACTGCTAACCAGAAGGCTGGCTGTTCAAACCCACTAGCCACTCTTCCGAAGGAAGATTGGGCAACCTACTTCGGTAGAGATATCACCTCAGAAACCCAAGGAGTGGTCGCTATGAGCAGAATCGACTCGATGGCAATGGATTTAGTTTTGGTTTTGGTTTTGAAAGTACATGGGCCAATAACAACCAAATTAGCAAACCCAGGGAAGCCCAACTCTGTTCTGGCACATGGCTAATGTATCAGCAGAGCCAGACCAGAAATAGAACTCTGGTAGCATAGTGCCTAAGGCACTTGACTGCTAACCAGAAGGCTGGCGGTTCAAACCCACCAGCCACTCCTCGGAAGGAAGGTTGGGCATTCCTACTTCCGTAGTGATACTGCCTCGGAAATCCAAGGAGGGGTCGCTATGAGTCGGGGCCGACTCGATGGCAAATAACAACAACAACAACATAGTAAATTGGGATTTACTGCAATTCTAATACAGATTTACACCACTTCTAGTAAATGATTATAAATTTTCAATTTCACCAGGTAGATTTAATGAAAAAAGTTCTTTCGCAGAGCTGGAATCTGAACTTTATCTAGAGACTTCAACATAATTGCAAATTCACACATTCATCTCTAAAATACCAAAAAATGGTACATTTTATTTTAGGTAATCCGAGTGAAATTTCACTTAATATTCAACATGTAAATGCTACTTACTCCTAAAATCACTTTCTGTAGCTCAGAGCTTGCTCCTAAACAATAAATAAGCCTGTATAGCCTACTAGACTACTTCACTACTCTACCTATACAGTGTACAGGTACACTTATACTTCAGCATGTACAAAACTAAATTGTCCCTCTTTATTCTCCCTCAAAGAGTGAGTTGAGTATCTTCTAATGTTTCCCATCTTGACCAATTATATCACCATCTATATACTGTCTAGTCCAAAAATCTGAGTCATCTCAGAGTCCTCTCCTTTAAATGCCACCAATTCTAATCTCTGAGGCCTGCCAATCCTACCTCCTGTCAATCTCTGCTACATACATGTAACTTACTCTAATAATTGATATGTGCTTCAAGAAATGAGAGTACATACAAGTTTCTGAAGGTACAGTTTAGGACAAAGAAGCCCAGGATAAAAGCAAAAGAAATGACAAGTCTGCTCTCATTCTCCTTAATGAATACTTTCTCTATGAATCTGATTCCCCTCAGGTGGGCTTAATTTCTACATACTCTCAACATGAGTATATTGTTGAACTGAGGGTAATTCTACTAAAAGACAGGTATTTTTCATTGTACGGTATCCTTAAACTGAAGTCAACTACCTTGGATGCTACTTAAGCAAGTTCCTCCATGCTAAAGCAAAGTTAGTTTTCTTACATTTATTGAGAGACGCTGTATTAGTCTCTTATATGACCTTTTCTGAAAAATATTTATGGGTAATTTTCACTATAAATATTTTTCACCTTGCACAGTTTTAAGAGCCCAAACCCTCCATAAGATTTAACTTCCCTACATACATTGCTCTCCATTACATCTGTCATAGCCTTAATTCAGGCACTCATCATCTCTTACTTGGATTATCATGAATAATCTTTGATAGCAGTCTTGTCCTCTTCCTATCCATTCTCTCTAAAACATAATCTGACCATGTTGTTCCATGGCCTATGGCATATGACCACACATTGGCTAATGACACTTCCGTTCCCTGTCACTTCCCAATTCTAGTAGGCCCCCTAGTCATACTAAACTAATCCACTCTCATCATCACCAAACTCTTTCATTGTGATCATCTGCATGTCCTGCTTGCACTTTCTTGTACAATTAATTCCTAGTTTGAAAATCTTTTCTGAAAGTATCACTTTATTTTCACTCACACACTGGAATTCTTTGAAATATATGATTCTGTTTTGAGTTCTGGGCATTTCAGTATTGGAGAAAAGAGCACTATTTCCATCTGTCATCTGCTCAAACCACATGCCTAGCATGAGTCTGCATATCAGAACTTCCCTTAAAAAAAAAAAAAAAATCAGCAGTATTAACTCACGTTCACCCTGTGCTTTCAAACCAAGTATGTTCATTTGACTGGTCATAGCAGTCAGGGAGGACAATTTTGTGAGTCACTGAAGGACCTATATTTTGGATCTCAAAATCTTTTATGCAAAAAAGTATTTACCAAGTAGTGTAGCAGTTCAGTAAACATGTTCAATTAATTTCTAAGACTTGGACATGTATCTCCATATTCTGCCTTGCTCCCCTTTAACTATTCTACCAACTGAGGATTAACAGCACAAGCCTGAAGGAAATTTAACATTGTCATCAATTCCTCAACCACATCATGCAATGCACAACCTGCAGAGTTCACAACACAATACATATATGCAATAGTTGCTTCTCCTTTGATTTAATAAAGTTGATTATTTTTTAAATTTTCATTGCAGGTACCCATTTTTGACAAATGAAGTTTAGCTTTTCCAAGCAAGTTCAAAATAAAAGTCTCCAAGTCCTTCATATCACATGAGATTATATATGTGCCAACTACATCAGATAAAAATTCTTTTAGTAAAAATTTCCTGTGGGCTATGTCCTCTGTTCACATTTGATCCCCAGGCCTAAGATCAGATGGCCTTCTAAGTGAAACATGAAGGATAAGTTCTGGCAAGGCAAGCTGGACAGAATTAAACAGCTGGGAAGAGCACCTGATTCTAAAATTCTATCCAACAAGTAGTTATGTATGTTCTAGAGAAGGAAAAATGCCAAATCTGACAGGTGGGAATTTGCAATTTGTTTTGGCTATAAAGACAAAGCCACTTAAACACTGTCAGTTTCCTGGCTCCATTTAGTTTTTATGAACCACTGTAGATCCATAGGGTAGAAAAATACAGAGTGGCCTGCAAAACACAGTACTCATGCTTGCCAATTCCCAGTTGTACAGACAGAGCTGAAAAAACTCAAAAGTATTTCCCAGGACTGTCTTTAATAAATGTTAAATATATAGATTCAATTAACTACAATAATAGCCCTGTTAATAAAAGTTAACATAGTTTAAAACTAGAAAATTCTAAAAAACACTTCATATTCTAACATTAGAAAGAATTACATAATTGGATCTTGGACCATTTGACAATGTACTTGCATGGAAAAAATACAAAAGCTAAATTATGTAGGCTTTAATACTCAGTTTATGTTACATGACATTGCTCTCTATAAAGCAAGCATTTTGTACATGCAACTAATTTTAACTTGAAGGAGCATTCCCTGGGATGAAGTACATAAAAGTGAATAAAACAATTAGAACAGATCCAATAACCAAGAGACATTTCTTCATTTCTCTGTAATGTTTTATTTTGTCTGAGTAAGATTAATTAAATAGCATAATCAGGGCCCACAACGTGACTCAGTTTTTAACTAAAATAAAATTTGAACTCCAGAAAAAAAGTTTGTCTCAGTATCCTCTGCTATAACAACTGCAAATAACCATAGTTACCTTGCTACTTCTGGAAGAAGCAAGGGGCCATCCACTTCTGAAAGAATTGGCCAGTGAAAACCTTATAACTAGCAGTGAAATACTGTCTGACATATATATCTGTTGTACGCAGGGTTGCTATGAGTCAGAGACGACTCAACGGCACCTAATAACAACAAAATCTGGCTACTTCACAAAGATATTAAATTACACAGCTGGTTCACCCAAATTCATTCCTCCCTACCATTTTCCTTGCTGTTGGAGCCCTGATTTTCTTTGGATATTTATCCTCCTAAGGCCTAGGTGATCAGAGATGGGTCCCTCTCTCTAATCCAGGCAGACAATCTTGATCAATCTAAACCAGTCAAAGTATTTCTATCTCCCTTCTTAGAGACCAGGATAGATATGGGCAGATGAGGCAAGTCTGCTGGCAAAGCTTCTGGGAAAGGGTTTCTTAATTTTTAAAAAGTGATATGCAAAGAAAAACTTCCCTTCTTCTACTCCAGAATGTAGATATATGAAGAGGTAATACTGGAACTCTGGCAGCCATGTGGGACCCAAGAAGAACCAACATAAGTGGTCAGGCTAGCACAGTTAAGTATTGCAAGGCAAAAGATGGAATAACTTGGATCCTTCATGACATCTCTGAGCTACTGAAATAACCCAACCTGAAACCACCCAATTCTGGCCTTTTCATTTGAGGAGATAATAAATCCTTTGTGGTTTAGGTGACTTCTGTTGAGCCTTCTGTTATTTGCAACAAAAACAACCTAATTCATAAAAATATCTTTAGAAAGAATTAAATATACTCCAAGAATAATACTTTCAGTTTAAAATCTCAGCAATTTGGAAATATATCATTCTTCTTAGTTAGTATTTTCCTCTTAGTTCCAGTTACTTACCATTAAAAAATAATGATCCTCAGGTTCTGCTCGAAGATATTTAAAAATCACTTGTTCCATGAACCTTTCCATAAGATCCCAGTCTTCAATTATACCATGTCTTATTGGCCACTAAAACAAGAGAATGCAACAGGTCAAGATTCGGTCTACCACAGTGGATTTAACCTAAGGGGTACATAAGAAAGAATGTGCTTTTAGAAAATAAAATTCTTCTTTTTGTGAAATTAATGTTACTTCATGTAAAAAATAACTCATTTAAAAAAGATTAAGTTAAATTTTTATTTATGTTCTACTCCACATTATTAAGTACAAAGAATTAACAACAGAGTGACAGATTTGAAAAGTGCAGATAAAATCTACTACATAATTCACTTTGAGGAGTGGATGGGGCCCAGGATTAAGGGCTAGTTTATCAAAGAATAATAATATGCTTTAATACTCTGGCAATGAAAACAACACAAGAAGAAGCTGTTGAGAGTACAGAATTTAGAACCAAACTGCCTGGGTTTGAATCCCAGTTCTGCCACATACTAGCTGTGTAATTTCAGGCAAACTGCTTAATCTCTCTCTGGCTCAATTGCATAATCTATAAAATGGAGATCGTTATAATAATTAAATGAAATAACATGCTCAGACTTAAAATAGAACTACTACCTAAGCATTTAATAAATGTCTTTGTAAAAGTGGTGCTCAAATTTACCCACAACAGCACAATATACATTCTTTTCCAGTGCACATGGAACATTTCCTATGATAGACAATATGTCAGGCCATGAAGCAACCCTTAATAAATTTTAAAAAACTGAAACACTGCAAAGTATCTTCTCAGATAGCAATGCTATCAAATTAGAAATCAACAATAGGAAGACCAATGGAAAAAGAGCAAACACATGGAAACTGAAGAATACCCTCCTTAAGTAACACAGCATAAGAGAAGAAACAAAAATTGAAATTCAAAAATTCCTTGAATCAAATGAGAATGAAAACACAAAATACCAAAATCTTTGGGACACAGCAAAAGCAGTGATCAGAGGCCATTTTATAGCAGTAAATGCATCAAAAAAGAAGAGCCAAAATCAACATTTTAAACTAACATTTCCAACAATTAGAAAAATAACAGCAAGAAAAGCTTACAGTCAACAAAAGAAAAGAAATAAAAAAGATTCAAGCAGAAATCAATGAAAGGGAAAACAGAAAGACAATAGAAGAGAATCAATCAGACTAGAAGATGGTTTTTTGAAAAGATTAATGAAATTGACAAACCACTGGCAAGTTTAACAAAGGAAAGGTGGGAGAGAATACAAATAACACAAATGAGAAAAGAAATGGGTGACATCAAAACAGAACAAACTGAAATAAAAAGGATAATATAAGGATACTACGAAGAACTGTACTCCAACAAATTTGAAAATCTACAAAAAATGGACAGATTTCTAGAAACACACCACTTACCTAAACTAACACAACTGATGTGGAAAAGTTGAACAGATCCTTAACAAAAGAAGAAATTGAACAGGTCATCAAAAAATTACCAACAAAAAAAAGTCCAGGCCCAGAAGGTTTCACTGGAGAATTTTACCAAACATTCAGAGAAGAGCTGACACCAATCCTACTCAAACTATTGCAAAACAAAAAAAAGGATGGAATCCTCCCTAATTCATTTTGTGAAGTAAGCATAACCTTGATACCAAAACCAGGCAAAGACATCACTCAAAAGGAAAACTACAGACCAATATTCCTCATGAATAAAGATGCAAAAATCTTCAACAAAATCCTAACCAAGAGACTCCAACAACATATCAAGAAAATCATTTATGATGACCAAGTGGTATGCAACGATGGTTCAACATTAGAAAAACAATCAATGTCATCTACCACATAATAAAACAAAGAAAAAGAACCATATGATCATAGCAATAGATGCAGAAAAGGCATTTGATAAACTCCAAAACCCATTCCTGATCAAAACTCTCAGCAAAATAGGAATCGAAGGGACATTCCTCAACATAATAAAGGGCATCTATGCAAAACCAACAGCCAACATTATACTCAATGGAGAGAGACTGAAAGCATTTCTCTTGCAAACAGTAACCAGACAAGGAT